CCCTTTGCAGCATTACACACCGAGAACAAGTATGAGGCCCATGGGAAACTTCAGCCTCTGGGAAGCAGAGGAACCAAAAACTTCATGCCCAAACAGCAGTAATACACGTCACATGCTCCAGCCACTCTGAGTTCCCAGCATTTTTCATCTATCTGGACAAGTACAGGGTTTCGGCTGTTGCCCTCGACAGCTGGGTCCCAGCACTCAGCTGCCTGGTGAGCCACTCTTGCTCACTTCTTCTTCACCCTTGAACAAGGATTTTCCACTGCCCAAGCCCACAGCTTTGGCAAAGGGCTCCCTGAGGCTGTTCTGAAGCCCCGACGTAGCGGAGGTCCCAGCTTGCTGCTGGGATCCCGTGAGGTGCTCGCTGTGGTTGTACCTCCCTCCACCGAAGCCAGGCAGCCCCATTGCAACGCGCTGGCGTTGGCTGCAAAGGAACAAGACGGACACGGTTTAAGAAATGCACGCTCGGCGCCGTGGCTGTCTGGCTGAGATGTGCAGATTTGCCTTGTGACTTCTACCAGCGCTGCGGACGGAGCAGGCTTGCCTCCATCGGCGTTGAGCCTGGCAGCGCAGCAGGAGTGCAGCTTGCTCAGCCGCTGCTGCTTTTAAAAATAGAGTCAGCCAGGTGCAAACAAGTAAGGGTATTGCTTTTCTGCTGTAAAAGGGTAAATTACGCTAGTTTTAATATTAAATAGAGCAGATGCAAGCCAGCTGTTATTTGTGCTGGATAATTAATTACTTCACTAAACCACACCAGCCCGCCAGCTTTCTCCTCTCCCCCACTGCATCCTCACCAAAAATCAGTGGATGCAATGCCAGAGGGAAGAAAACACCAACTTCTGAATGGCTGTTTTGTGTGAAGCCCTTTTTTTCCCTCCCTGACGCAGGTGAGTCTCCTGTCCCACCCGTCGGTTAGGTCCCGGTCCTCCTGAGACCTGGCATTAGGACCTGCCATCCTACAGCTTTCCAAGCAGAGCACAGAGGCTGCGGAGGAAGTGGTTCAAAAAGCGCTGAAAGCAAATCTTCTCTGAGGCCCTTGTGTAATCCACAGCGAGGTCAGATTTCTCCAGAGTAACAAGGCTTTGCGAACTGTCAGCAGTGTGTAGAGAGGCTTAGCTAACACAGCTTAGAGAACTTGCCGGCAAGTGAAAAAGTATAATTCATCAGTCTGAGGGAATAATCCCCATATAAGACTATAAATCATTTAGTTCCTCCCTTTATTGTGCCTGGGATTAAGTTGTACAGATTCTAGAAGTGCAGCACCTATGACTCCCTCTCTTCAAAGAAACTAGGCATGGTTTTGTCTGAAAACTTGGCATCCGCGATCACGTGGGAGAGCCAATGTTAGGATTTGTCCTGCAAAATGGAGTAAAACCCTGAGCCTGCCTATCTCTGGAAGAACTGCCAGCATCATAGCGGCGTTTTGTGATACTCTGCGTGTTCCCACGTCTTCTGCAGAGCCACTCTTCTTATCAGGGGCCAGAGTTAAATTTTTGTAGTGATAGTGAGGTGATCCATTGCAGAACGACGCACGTTTGTGTTTATCAGGGTCTCTGACTGCCATGCATAGCGCGCCCTCTAATACATCTTCCCTGGAGTGTATTTGAGCATTCCAACCCTCTGAGAAGTTCTCAGGTAGCTGAGGGTCACCAAGCAGAAGCACAGCGGCCGGAGACTTTTCAGCACAGCAGAACAGCAGTCCCTGGACAATCCCAGTGCTGTGTGGGACGCATCCTCCCCAGGCTGCACGTGCGGGTGAAGGCGCAGAGCAGCAAACCGCAAGCCGCAAGCGAGCAGTGGGACGCAGCATCGCTTACGGCTTGAGGAACTTCACCACCGAGTCATCGGGAACCCACCCCAGGGCTCCCTGATGGTGGCTGGAGCACAGCGACCTGTGGGCACAAACGGGCAGAACACCCCCGGCCAACCGGGACACCCTCAAAACCCTCAATAATGGGGGAAAGGAGCCGGCGACACTCCCAAACTTACAGGCGCAGCACATGGGAGGCTGCCGGCACCCCTCACGGGCTGTGGCGCCCAACCACCGAGAGGGCGGGATATCAGCAATGTCATTATTCCCGTATTATTTTATATTGTTATATTATAGCTTCTTCTTCTTCTTCTATTATTATGATGGTTATTAGCATTACGATTACGCTGCTGCCGCTGCAGCATGTGCGCTGCCGGGCAGAGCGTCCCGGGCACCGCCC